ATTGTAATAAAAAATTTGAATTAAAGAAATTACACAAAACAAGAACTTTCAAAAAGTTAATTTCATACTAATATCGATATAGTTTTTTCAAAATTTTATGATATTTTATTCAAAAATAAAAATATTATCGTTTTCTCAAAACCACATTAAAACCGTATGATATCGACATAGATAAAGATAAAACGAAAGTTGAAATCGGGATGTGTGTCAGTGCATTGCACGAGTACCTTTCTAGTAAGTTATAAGACTTGGGTGTTTGGAGCTTCCTCTTAAAACTTTTCGGTTCGAATGTTTCAAAGTTCACCAGAGATTTCACCAGTTATTCTCTAGAAACCTATAAAATTAGTCGAGAGAGACATAAGATGTCTTAGACAATCACGATTAAAATAAAACGTGCAATGACAGTCTTAGTTTAATAAATATGCATTTTATACTAATGAAAACATTTTCCCTATTATGTAGAAAATGAAATTACTTTTAACCGAAATGGGTAGGAGTGATTTATAGGGAACGTATATGTTGTCCTTTTCGGAATTTGTATGAGTAACTTAGATCATCATTTTGGAATGTACAAGAGTGACATAAAGAGGATCGTATCAAACTTTGGAAAAGATAGACGACTTGGGGGGGAAGGTATATCCTTTCCTTGTAAAATGTGTATGAATGATACAGACAAAATGTGTCATCGTTTTTAATTGGGTGGGAGTAACTGGTATCCTACTTATAACCCATTTAAGATGACAGTATAGACATTATTATTTTGGAAAATCAATTAATAACCTTGTTTGTTCATTTTCAATTTACTAAAATCCATAAAGATTTTGAAGATGCACATTTTCTTATTTAATTTTCAAAGAAAGTGGACATCAAACTTATGGAATAGACCCAATGCACATGAGTCGTCCACACCCATTAATCTTAGTCGATACTAACAAAGCCAACCTCCTCTAGAATGAAATTGTTATCTGCTCATAACCCAATAAAAAAGATTGAATTGTTATGTAATGACTACTTGTATACCCATGCAATGCGGTGGGAGCTGTGAATTTTAACGATTTTGAAGTTTTACTCGTTTTATTATAGAAGATTTAACGATCTTGGTCTTTACATATTAATACAATTTGAATAAATAAGAGTTATGGTTCCAATTACAGTGTATCGATGAAAACAATTGTACGACAGTTTAAAATCCAATATATTTAAATGACTACACAAATGTGTTCGATTTACACCAAGAGAAAAAAATCAAGAGATCAAGAGCGAGACCGAGAGTTCTAAAGCAATTGAATGAGGTCCTGGTGAATGGTGATGGTCTTGTCGGCCAGGCCGAAGACAAGTTCAAACCCAAGTGTTAAAAAAATGCTAGTTATAAAAAATATTTAATTTTTTAAAATTATTACAAGGAATATATTCTAATACAATTAATTCATCTATTTTTTTTTTTTTTTGGTAAAATGGGAAAAACTTTAAAAAAGATCAATTAATGTTAGTTTAAATGATTTAATCTTTAAACCCTTTTTTAATAAATAAATAAAAAGCATTGAATTTTTTTTTCATTTGGAATATTTTACTCTTTGAATTATTTTTTTAAATAAAAAAACTATTAAACTTTTTTATTTTGAATGAATAAGTCTATAAACATTTTTTTAATTAATAAATCATCAAACTTTTAATCCAAAAAAGTTACATTTAACCGACTAGTAAAAATTTAATGACTTGTTTATTAAAAAATCAAAATTTTAAATCATTCAGAATTAGAAAATCTAATGATTTTTTCATTAGAAAAAAAAAATTCAACAACTTAATCATTCAAAATAAGAAAATTTAATATTTTTTTATTTTAAAAAATTGACTAAACTAGTCAAAACGGGGGCTTTTTTGGAAAAAAAATAATTTAAAAAAGGAAAAGATAAAGAAAATATACAAAGAAGAAAATTGATATTTATCCAATATTTTTAATTTCATACGTCTTTTTATTAAATATTAATCAAATGGGTATGACTTAATAATGTTTATGATCCATAATCCATAGCTTTTGTAATAGATTATTAGAGTTGCATAAGATTAAGACATGCATTTCTCTTTTTAATTATTAGTTAGTAATWTATGTATCTATAAATTATTTTAGAATAAAGATAAAGATATTCTTGTAATATAGTTCGAAAACAAGTATATTCAAACATCTCTTGCTTCTAATAAAAGAAAAGCATCAAAGACAKATCATACAAAACATGGCTTATGTAACCTCTTTTCTTTCCCATGTAAACCCCATGTTTATCTAGTTATTTGGAGTCAAAATTACTTTCTCTTGTGTCTTGATAACTATAATTATAATGGATRTGTTTGAACATGAGCACCCGCTGATTCTCATTGACTTGGAGCTCGAATATTCACAAATTCAAGAAGAATACGAGGATGATGATCATACGGATAGTGATATGGTTGCATTAGATGACTTCAAATGTATTTGTGACAGGTGCGGCCTACAAATCAACGAGTACCATAGGTACTACTACAAGTGTAGTGCTTCATGTAGCTACTCAATCCACAAATTCTGTTCAGARCTTCCACCAACACTAAGACACACATCCCACGATGCTCATACTCTTACCCTTCTACAACGAATGGTAAGTTGGAGGTGTAATGTATGTAGAAACCACCATGAGCCTAAAGACATACGTTATCGGTGTTCTGAATGTGATTTTGATGTTGATATAAACTGTGCCTTAACAGCCGATAAAAAAGTCTTCTATCATCCTAGCCACACACACCCATTACTGGTAATCAATGAACCAATATTATGCAAGTGTAGTGCTTGTGGGAAAAAACAACAAGGGATCTTTTATCA